ACAACAGTTCCTAACCCCCAAGGGGTGTACAATCTAAGGTCCCTAACTTGCATTCATACATACACATATTAGGGCCAATTTAGACAGGATCCAATTAACCTACCAGCATGTCGTGGGAGTGGGAGGAAACCGGAGTACCCAGAGGAAACCCACGCAAGCACAGGGAGAACATGCAAACGCAGAAGGCGCCATGGTCGGGAATCGAACCCATGACCCATTTACTGTAAGGCAGACGTGCTAACCACTAAGCCACTGTGCTTTAGTTGCTGGGTTTTTTTATAGTCCCGTGTACATAACAAACCAACACATTGTGTTACTGTTCACCAGCACTCACATAGTACTGAAGGGTACAGAGTGTACACTGGTGAAAAATGGAACTTGTTGATCTGTTTTTTTTTTTTGTTTTTTTTTAACTCTCTTCGAGAAAGCAGTATAGCAGTAAGCAGTATAAGTAGACAATCCTCTGTAGATGGGGATATTCATATACACTATATTTCCAAAAGTATTGGAATGCCTGCCTTTACATACACATGAACTTTAATGGCATCCCAGTCTTGGTCTGTAGGGTTCAATATTGAGTTGGCCACCCTTTGCAGCTATAACAGCTTCAACTCTTCTGGGAAGGCTGTCCACAAGGTTTAGGGGAGTGTCTATGAGACTGTTTGACCATTCTTCCAGAAGCGCATTTGTGAGGTCAGGCACTGATGTCGGACAAGAAGGCCTGGCTTGCAGTCTCCGCTCTAATTCATTCCCAAAGGTATTCTATCGGGTTGAGGTCAGGATTCTGTGTAGGCCAATCAAGTTCCTCCACCCTAAACTCACTCATCCATGTCTTTATGGGCCTTGCTTTGTGCACTGGTGTGCAGTCATGTTGAAACAGGAAGGGGCCATCCCCAAACTGTTCCCACAAATCTGGAAGCATGAAATTGTTCAAAATGTCTTTTGTATGCTGACGCCTTAAGAGTTCCCTTCACTGGAACGAAGGGGCCAAGCCCAACCCTTGAAAAACAACCACACACCATAACCCCCCCCCCCCCCCTCCACCAAACTTTACACTTTGCACATTGCAGTCAAGCAAGTACTTTAGCTATTGACTCTGCAAACAGTTGGCGACTTCTGTGCACTGTGCGCTTTAGCATGCGCTGACTCCCCTCTGTCATTTTATGTGGCCTACCATTTCGTAGCGAAGTTGCTGTTTCCGGTTGGTTCCACTTTGTTATAATACCACTAACCGTTGACCATGGAATATTTAGTAACAAGGAAATTTAACAGTTAGCTTGCCACCTGTTCAAGAAGTCCATCACGGTACCATGCTTAAATTTACTAAGCTCCTGAGAGCGACCCATTCTTTCACAAATGTTTGTAGGAGCAGTCTGCATGCCTAGGTACTTGATTTTATATACCTGTGGTCATGGAGGTGATTGGAACACCTAAATCCAATGATTTGGACAGAATATAGTGTACTTGCGAATACCATCTGGGGCTCATAGGATCAGGGTTCCCTATTTTATTTTTAATAAACTGCACATTTTTTGAAAAGTACATAAACCTGGATGATTTAGACCCCCCCCCCCCCCAGCCAATATGTCAGTCTTCCTTTGCCCATTTTGGAGTATACCACCTGCCACTTTTATATAAGGGACTTTTCTACCTATGAAGTCAACAAACATCAGTTTCTGCTGTTTCCCCTGAGTATGAAAATATTATCTTGAGCTTACCTGAGATATCAGGACTGACTATGACATCCACCCATTGGATTTCATTTTGTTTCATTTCTTTCTAGCTTCCTAATTTGTGGAGTGCCTTGAGAAAACTCAGTATACTAATTTATGGTAGTCTCATTGCACCATGTGTCATTTCCTCTCTACTCTTTAGGTATAGAAGATACTGTCCCATTTGTCTACTTTAGAATTTTTTTATGATGATTTGAGAACTTGATTTGCATTTTTTTTTTTTGTGCTGTCCCTCAGTATTTTCTGGTTCTTCTCTCATGTTACAGAATCTGGAATTTGGACAGTGCACAAAAGCGGTGCTTACAACTCCTATTCACTATTTAAGTGGAAAATATTCATATGCCCTTCCTCCATCTTAGAACAATTTTTCTAACTAAATCTATCAATTTTCTACTTTTGAGTCTGATTTTATAGAATAGCCAGCTCTTCCAAATCATAGGAGGATCTCTTTTTGGGTCAGTATTTTTATCCTGACCTCTGCTGCACTTCAAATGAATACTCCACCTATAACTTACTGGTATTTGCCCACTTACTCTGGACAGTGTTGGTGCCATTAGCATTCACTCTATATACAGTATATTAAGGCATATGATTTTCTTCACTTTCAGCAGTGAGGGTTCTAATCACTAGTGCAACTTTTTTTCCTTTCTTATAAGGAAATATCCACCTTGTTGGTTCTGTACTTCCCAGAATGGTCGTCAGACTTTGGGAAATTGTACAGAAACTATTTACAGGAACAACGATCATCTTTCTTTTTTAGCAAACGGATTATTAATATATAGAAGCAGGCAGGGTGCATTGTGGTTACCACATTTTAATATCAACTATAGGGGTGAATTGGAAGGTTTCCTACTCGCCCTTGTCCTGAGGTCCATGAACTTCTCTTGCAATACAATATAACCTTACCCAGCTTTCTCTTTTATATTAGTATGTAGATCTCTCCACACTTTTCTTAAAAAGGAATTCTTTCCCCTTTTTTGTTTGACATTTAAGGTTTCCTTTCCTCTATCCCTTAGATTGCTGCTGAGAGGGATGTCATATTGTAGATCTTTCTTTCCTTGAAGTCTTGAATAATGGGTTCCACAATATAAGGTGATTTTAAAGTCATAATTATTTTTTTAAATAATAAACATGTTATATTTACCTGCAATGGTATTGCACAGAGCAGTCCCACACTTCCTCTTCTCAGGTCCATCGCCAGGCCTCATGACTCCTTCTTTTTCCAGTGTGCCACCATAGGAAGCTGCATCCTATGGTGGCACACCTGTAGGATAGGTCCCAAGCAGCACTGCCTGCATCCGTAGACACAAACGGACACAAGCCCCATGCTTCCTCATCACAGAATTTGACTGACAGCCACGGGAGCCAATGGCTCCTGCTGCCTCAGCAAAGCCTATGAGAGTGGGGACAGCAGAGAGCCGCTACAGATGGGCATATCGCTGGTTAAAGTGAGGACTCAGGTAGGTATGGGAGTGGGAATGCATTAAGATAAAATAAATGTTTAGGCTTTAGAACCACTTTAATGTAGAAGATCTCTAATATAAAATCACCTCCCACTCAAAAAAAATCTGCAAGTATACTCACTACCCCCCCCCCCCCCCCCCCCCCCATACCATTTACACATGAAGACTTTCTAGATGCCTAATTTATCTGTGTTGGTCTGTGTCATGACTGGTCATTGGTGAGCTAAAGTTAGCCTTCGGCTATTTGACACTGTAGGGTATCCTCACTGTTCAGGAAGAATACAAAGTATATTTCAAAGCTACAGATGGCTGAAAGCCCAAATAATGGCCGAAACAGAAAATATATGAAGCGCTGAGTCTGCAGAAGTGAAGGAGTGCAGGACAGATGACATCCGTTGCGGTTTTATTTACATGACATCATTTTCGTATTCATTATAGAGAAGACTTGGGAGAGTTATTGTAAACCTATCACAAACCTGGGTAACTCAAACTGAGCACATTAATAAGAGCATAAGAAGGGTTTACCTGCAGAGTAAACCACATGACAAAATATCCAGTGCAGAGATACGGCAGCTTACAATACATGTAAACTGTCCTGCCTCCAAAGACTTTTTTTCTTCCAATATGCTTGTATTGAACTATTTTTTACAAACGTTACACACTGGTTACACACCAGTTCAAAGCGTAACATGCAGAAATTGACAGTAACAGGTACATAAGGGTGTAGCAAGGTGTGTGTGTGGTTTTTTTTTTTTTTGGGGGGGGGGGGGGGGGGGGGGGGGGGGGGGGGGGGGGGGGGGGGGGGGGGATTTTATTGTCCCAGAGGTTTCTGGCGAAATCTGAATGAGACTTTTTGTGATTGTGTTGCGGTTTCATATTGGTGAAGTGTGTCTGTACCAAGGTAGGCTAGGGGTGCTTAGTTTCCCAGTGCTTCCCTCCCACGAGGTCTTCCAAGACAAAACAATCTAGGGGTGATGAATAATGAAGGGTAAATGCACAAGTCTGCTAGGTTAGGTCTGGGTGTTTAATAGGTAGGAAAGTGGTAGGATAGTAGGTCCAAAGACATGCTGGTAGGTTAATTGGATCCAGTCTAAATTGGCCCTAATATGTGTATGTATGAATGTGAGTTAGGGGCCTTAGATTGTACGCCCCTTGAGGGTTAGGGACTGATGTGAATGTTCAATATAAATATGTGTAAAGCACTGCGTAAATTGACAGCGCTATATAAAGTACCTGAAATAAATAAATAAAATAAAATAAATAAATGAATGGTTAGCACTTCCTCCTGGCAGTATTAGAGTTGTTGATTCGAATCCCAGCCACAGCACCACCTGCCTGGAGTTTGCATGTTCTCCCTGTGCTTGTATGGGTTTCCTCCCACACTGCAACGACATGCTGGGAGGTTAATTGGATCATGTCTAAATTGCCCCTAGTATTTGTATGTTTGAATGTAAGTTAAGGACCTTTGATTGCCCCTTGAGGGTTAGGGACTCGTGAATGTAAACAAAAAAAAAATGATATATATATAGATAGATGCATAAATTGACGGCTCTATATAAGTACCTGAAATAAATAATGTAAGTGGAACACGAGAGAAGCGCTCCAGGTCACAAAATACAGGTGTGTGTGTGTGTGTGTGTGTGGGGGGGGGGGGGGGGGGGTCAGGGCTTTCCTGAAGATTTCTTCCCTTTAAAAAATGGGAGAAAAAATATTTGCATGTTTCAAATAGAATGCTTCCTTTTTGTGTAGTAATGTTTGCTAGACTTCGTGACTTCTAATGGTGTAATTTTTTCTCTTTCACCAGGTTTTGGACCTCACATGATGATCGGTTCTTATATATGCTAATGGAGTATGTACCGGGAGGAGAACTTTTTAGCTATTTGCGCAATATGGGACGTTTTAACAACAGCACTGGACTGTTTTACTCTACGGAAATTATTTGTGCAATAGAATATTTGCACTCCAAAGAAATTGTTTACAGAGACTTGAAGCCTGAAAATATATTGCTTGACCGAGAAGGTCACATCAAACTAACAGATTTTGGATTTGCAAAAAAGCTTTCGGACAGGTATCCTGCACTCACTAAATTTTGTTTTATTCATTGCCCTTGCCTGTATCCGCCTTACTGGTCATTTTCTTCTTCTTTGCTTGAGTGTCAAGTTCCTTAAAACTGAAGTTTAGGCATTTCTTGGACTTTGCTGATCCCTGCAGAAGCTGGAAATGACTGTGCTTTGTAGTGATCACTGCTAGCTTTTGAATCCCAAGCAAAGTGGCTGCCCTATTGCTTAGTGAACACGGGGTTGTTTGCGGCACCATTCAGAGATCACTTTGAATTTTCTCAATGAATGCACAGCATTTTCTGATTGAATGAGGTTTAGAGGTGGGGAGTCCACATCACAATGTCAGAGTGGTTCAATCAGAGAACACTTTACTTTTATTGGTGAATATCAATGGTGCCTGTGCCGAGTAAGCAACCCCCCGTGTTAACTAAGCAGTAGGACAGCTGCATGCACAGGCCCTGGAAGCTAGCAATGCCTACTAAAGTGATTTCTAGCTTCCACTGGATCTTAAAGGCAGAACACATGCATATATCGTTGGGCCAAGCTGGATGGACCAAATGACTATACAAAAAAGGCATATCTAAACTTCAACTTCTAAACTTTATGTGGGACCACTTTTTTAGTTAGATACCACTGTAGTAACCCAGAAGTCATCTGTCCTTTATCACAAGAACCAGAGACCACAGAAACTGTTGTCATGCTATGATCCACTCTCACCTGCTATCTTCATCTCCCTATTTGCTGCAAATTATGAGGTGGCCTTATTGGCCTATTGGAACAATACCAAAAATGGGAATATGTTAGCCTTAGTCCCCCTTCCCCAGGAGCACATAACATTGAGTGTTGCTGTAGTCTGACACAGATTTTTCTTAATACCCTTGCAACATTATTGGACCAGTCCCCAAGCCTCAGCACTGTCAAATGAGAGGAAGGGAATTGGTTCATATACTCATCCATACCTGTAGTATGGAGTAACGGGTATTTTCTATCCTTCTGGTGACTAAAAACCCAGTCGCTACATGTGTGTGGTAACCTCCATTAGGTGACCTCATACTCTTTTGGATCTACCATGCATGGGAAGACACCAATCTGTATATTCAAATATACCTTGCAGAAGGCATTGTACTTTGCTGTCATATGTAGTTCTTCATATCTTGGTACAAACTGAAAGGTAATCTTGTCTTCAAGGAAAAGTTAATTACAAATATTGAATGTGCACCTTTATAGTGATGGAATGAGACAACTTATGAAAGGTATCGTGTGACCGATGGTGCTTAACCTCTGCTATGCTTGAACGTCTGATGTGATTGGATCACCAGAGGACAGAGAGAGAATTGGGGATAGTGTACTGTATATGGCTGCTTACGAGTCCATGTAAGCCACACCTGCCTTAGGTTATGTCTGAAAGTGTTTTGAAGTGCTTTGCAAAAGATCTTAGTAGGATAACATCCTGTTGATTTGCTTTTCACTTGTTCCGGTAAAACAGTCAAGTGCCTGTGCACACAGCAGGACCTCTGCTTATGCATTTCGTTTAACCATATAAACACAAGGTGAGGGGTTCTCTGACTGTGCTACGCTCAGCTCAGGGCTCAGATCTTCAAATCAGTCTCCTTAACAGCCATCCTGTCATCTTCTTCTTAGGACATTGAAGAACAGTGCTGTTATCCTTTACTATGTTAGATTTAACATCATGCAAATCAGCATTGAAAAACTTGGAGCAAAAGCATATGATCTGGTTATCATTGCCTCTCACCCAATACTCTACCTGTCATTAAAGCCAAATTCTGGACAAACAGCTAAATCAGGGGTCTCCAAACTTTCTAATCAAAGGGACAGTTCAGAATTTAGGGGGCTAGAATGTGGTCAGTGGGAATAGGCAATGTCTCAGGTTTGGTGGTTAGCAAGAGTAGAGAATTATAGTGTCTGGTCAGTAGGAGGAGGAAGAGTGCCCCATCATTGTTGTCCTTGGGAGGAAGAGTGCCCCATTTTTCATGTTTGTGGGAAGGATAGTGCCCTATCTTTGTTGTTCGTGGGAGGAATAGTGTCTCATCGTTGGTGTCTGTGGGAGGAATAGTGTCCCATCATTGGTATCTGTGGGAGAAATAGTGCCCCATTGTTGGTGAAAGTGGATAGAATGGCGCCCCTTTGTTGATGTCTGTGTGAGGAATAGTGCTCTATCTTTAGTGTCTGTGGGAGGAATATTGCCCCATTGTTGCTGTTCATGGGAGGAATAGTGCCCCATTGTTGCTGTACATGGGAGGAATTGCCCCATTGTTGCTGTCCATGGGAGGAATAGTGCCCCATTGTTGCTGTCCATTGGAGGAATAGTGCACCATTGTTGCTGTCCATGGGAGGAATAGTGCCCCATTGTTGCTGTCCATGGGAGGAAAAGTGCCCCATCGTTGGTCTACATGTAAAGAATAGTGCCCCATCGTTGGTGTACATGGGAGGAATAGTGCCCCATCGTTGGTGTACATGGGAGGAATAGTGCCCCATCGTTGGTGTACATGGGAGGAATAGTGCCCCATCGTTGATGTACATGGGAGGAATAGTGCCCCATCGTTGGTGTACATGGGAGGAATAGTGCCCCATCGTTGGTGTACATGGGAGGAATAGTGCCCCATCGTTGGTGTACATGGGAGGAATAGTGCCCCATCGTTGGGGCCCATGGGAGGAATAGTGCCCCATCATTGTTGGTGTCAGTGGAAGGAATGGTGCACCTTCATTGGTGTCACTGGAAGGAATGGTGCCTCAACGTTGATGTCAGTAGTAGGAACCGTGCCCCAAAGGCCAGATAAATGCAAGCTAAAAGGCTGCAGTTTAGAGACCATTGAGCTAAATTTATAGATTAAATATATGTAAATGTTCTTCACTACTAAGATATTTGTAATTCTATCAAGTCTATCTTTTGACTCAAGGATCTTGGACAGACAGAAGAGTTATCTCTACTTTAGTATAGCTTGATCACCAACCCACCCAACATGTATAGATGCAGCAGAGCACACTGGTAAAGGTATCCACCTTCCCTCTTCTGTAAGCTTGCTCGGAAGGGAAAGTTACAGTATTGTGCAAAGAAATAGAGCCATGATTGGCTCAGAATAATGCCCCTTTTTCTCCTAGTGCTTCAAGGTATGTAAAATATATATTTATTAAGAAATTAAAATCATAAAATATATAACAAGATACATTTGTTTTTATGTTTGTTTGGAGTTTAGCTTTAAACTAGAAAGCTCAAATAGGATTTGACAGTTCAATTCTAATAAATTCTATGCATTGTTGGAATGTAAGGCCACCCCTGATTAGTTCTGGTGTCATGGAGCTTACCAGGGTGGATGATATTACTGTCTGCCCACAGGACATTGTGTGGGTCTGCCAGTTGGCCTCGCAGGGCCCTCTACTGTCACATGTAGGTCACATCCTGCCCCATACTTGGAAACCTTGTTCCATCTGAGCAATAGAGCGAGGACTCTGACTAAGTGAGCAGGGGACAAAGGATCGTGTATGGGTGAGTATGCCATGCTGGGGGGAGGTGTTCTATCAGAGGGCATTGTCACTTGTATTTGCACAAGAATTTATGAGAGTTTATGGGAATTTGCTTTTATAAGCGGTTTTTTATTATTTTTTTTCCAAAATATTCCCATCTGCTCATTTTCCAATGTTCACTTGAAAACACGGAATGCTTCTAAATGCCGTGTTTATGAGCCTTAAGTAGTTTTCTGCCTGAAAGATCCTCTCAAAAACAGGATTCAGAAGGGTTTTTTATTTCTGCCACTAAGCGCTCCTCTGAAAATATGCTCTGTAACTCCCTAATGTGCATGGACACACAGGCTAACGTAGAGCTGTTTCTACAGACTGAAAAACAAAATGCAAAACACCTGGGTTAAGCAGCTTTTTTTATGCCCAGTGCACATGGACCTTAAAGTGTTACTAAACCCACAACGGTAAAATCCATCTATATAGGCAGAAAAGCATGCTTGTTATACCCACTGTGCAACCTAAGAGGTTAATCCACTGCATTGTGTAGAAAGGCTGTTTGATCCTGTCTTCTCTGATCCTCCCTTTCTATTAATGTCCCCAATCCATCTGCTGATAGCTCTAGGGGTCAGTCTGCACATGCTCAGTTTAGTGTGTATGGCTAAATAATTTTTTTCGTCCTTTGGAAGGGTGTTTGTTATCAGCACAGGGCCAATCATCACTGTCCAGACAGATGGTCAGGGGTTATGCAGCCTCATAGGACAGTCAGAGCAGAATGAAAACTCCTCCTACAAGATTAACCAGTGCCCAGCCATCAATTTACTCAGCGCTTCACATATATATTGTACATTCACATTAGTCCCTAACCCTCAAGGGGTGTACAATCTAAGGTCCCTAACTTACATTCATACATACACATACTAGGGCCAATTTAGACAGGATCCAATTAACCTTGTCTTTAGAGTGTGGGAGGAAACCAGAGTACCTGGTGGAAACCCACGCAGGCACAGGGAGATCAAGCAAATTCCAGGCAGTTGGGATTCTAACTGCCTGGGATTCGAACCACCGACCTTAGTACTGCCAGGCGGAAGTGCTAACCATTTAGCCACTGTGCTGCCCATTTAGTAACACTTTAAGTGTCAGTATATTCTGTATTCCCAACCCTTACTTATAGCACATTTCTTTTTTTATCCTTGGTCATATTATTCAATGTTTTACACTTTGCCGGTGTGAAAAGAAATTGTGCTAGCCTCCAACAAACGAGTTACTATGACAGTGTTAGATTTCACCGCTTTGTTATGTGAGTGTTTCTTTTTTTTTTGGCCTGTTGCTTCACATCCGTTTATTTATTTATAGATCTGTCAGCTTCCTGAAAGAACAGATTATTAGATGTTGCCTAGTAAAGAGTGGCGATTAGATGATAGAAAGTTCATTTTAGGTTTCGTAGAATACAGAAGAACTTACTGTACTTTTCTGAACGCATACTATAAAGTAGATTTTTATCTCATTATTGCTTTTTCTGCCTCACCATTGC